CCCCCCGCTCGGCCGCCTCAGGTCTCTGTCGGGCTCTCCCTTCCCCGGCTCCTCCATCTCCCTGGATGCCTCTTTTTCCTACGTTTTCCAGTCTCTCTTTCCTTCTCCATTTCTTTCTCTTTGTCTCTCGGTCTCTCTCAGTCACTGTCTCTCTCCCCGTCTCTGTCTCTGAGATCAGAGGAGAGAACCGGAGGCTGGAAGTAGCTGAACCCCATATTTCGGTTTCTCCCCTGGCTCTGGCCCCCCTCACTTCCCTCTTCTGGGAGCGCAGGACGCTCCTAGGCCTGGGGGGGAGCCAGCTGTGGGACCTCAGCTGTGTGCGTGTGTGTGTCTGGCGTTTGGACCGGGCCCGGGGTGCGCGCGTGTTTGCCGGCCGGACTGCGCGTTGTCTGTGTGCGCGTTGTGTGTGTCTGCCGGACTTTGTACGCACAATATCTAGGCCTTGGACATCAGTGTGCGCGCCTGGAGGCATCACTGTCCCTCTGCCCATTTTTGACCGGGCCTCTGGAAGGTTCCCAGCCTGGAATCCTCTCAGGGGATCTCAGGGAGTTGGTGGGACCTCCAAAATTGAGGGTAAATAGTGTGCTGGTAGGTATCTGTTGGAGAGCAGTTCCTCAGCTTTGATCTGACTCCTGGAGGAGCCCTAGACCCAGACAGCCTTGGAAACTCGTTTTCTAATGAAAGATTTCTGCAACAAAAATGTACTGAGCAACTACTGTGTGCTGGGTGGTGTTGGGGAGATACTGAACAAAAGACAAACTTCCTGGCCTCCTGGCACTCACATTATATTGGGGATGGGAGAAATGTGTAAGTAAATAAATAAATCCAGTAAATAAATGTGGTTACATATAGAATAACGCCTGGAGATGACAAGTGCTTTGAAATAAGGTAGAACAAGGATGGAGGGATGATATACACTGGACAGAGAGAGTCCTCAGAGGAGGTGACATATCTGAGCAGAGACCTGAAGAAGGTGGGGGAGGGAGCAGTGCGGAAATGTGGGGAAAGATCATTCTGGGCAGGGGGACCAGCAGGTGCAAAGGCCCTGGGGCAGCAATGTGCTTGATGTCTGGGAGGCCAGCTCCAGGTGGGCAGGAGAGGGCAAGGCAGGGAGGAGAGAGACTTTCTGGGTCTCATTCTTTACCTGACTTTTTCTACATTAGGCATCTTTATGCTCTGGTGTCCTCAGGTCCCCTCAAAGTGCAAATTTTGTGTCAGGAGACCTGTGAACTCACTACAATCCTATGACAAATGATGGCCTTGGTGCTTAACGTATTTTTTGCCCAGGGAAATGGCCCATAGTTTTCACCCTCTTATCATGAAGGGATACTTGATCCCCCCAAAAGTTGCTGCCATCACTCCCCAGAGATAGTACAGAAGAGAAGTGAGACAGAGAATCAGAGAGAAGAGGACAGAGACCCAGAGAGGGGGGGTTGCTGAGGGAGGGGCAGAGGCAGCATGCCCTCCCCTGCTGTGCTCGCTAAGGACATTTTTATGACCCTCATAAACATCTCTGCCTCTCAAAATCCTGCTTCTCCAAATCCTCCCATTTTGTGGAAATCAAAGGAAATATCAGGCCTGGGGTCAGGACTGCAGCAGCACTTCCCGTGGGGAGGGAGGGCCCTGCCTCTGGTCCCCATCAGGTCCCTGAAAAGGCCCTTCCTCTCCCATCTGGGGCTCAGATTCACCTCCAGGCCTCCCTTTCCCAGGCTCTGTCTCTCACACGCCCTCACTCTCTGTCTCACCCAGGGTCTCTGTCTCTCCCTGTCTGTCTGACTCTTGTCCTCAGACCCCCCGGGCACAGGGACAGCTCTCCTCCCTGAACATCTCTGGGTCTCCCCCAGGAATTGGGTCCAGATCCTCCTCAGACCCTCCTTCCCTCTCTGAGCCTCAGTCTCCCCTGTGCTGGATGAGCGATGGGCTTGGGCAGCGGTGACGGGAAATGGTTACACTGGAGGGTGCCAAGACTCTGAGGCCTTGGCTGAGTCTGGGGTCCCCCGTGCCAGTGGGCACACCCGCCCCCAAGCTCTCACCGCAAATGTCCCCTCAGGTGATGCTGGCCCTTTAAGGAAGGCAGAAGGAAGGGGCTGAGCGCCTTTAATCACTGCCACACACACCCTGCCCCCCAGATAGGGGTTTTGGAGCAGAAAATTAATTTAAATCACTTTTTAATTAAAGATGCAAAGCTTTTCTGTCTGCTCCCGCCTCCCCCACTGCTGCCCTCAGGTTCGGGTTGGGGGAGTCGGGGGTCTGCGCTCCGAGCCTCGCCCTACATCTCGGTGGTTTGCTGGGGTCCCCTTGCCCAAGCTGATTCTGAAAACGAGGAATCCCTGATCTGACAGCAGGCGGAGTGAGGCTGCACAGAGTGGACAGAAGCGAGGCACAGGTGGCTGTGTCTTAACTGGGAAGGGGGGGTCCCAGTGATGCCAGTGGGGGGGAGCTGAGAGAAAGGCCAAACCAGTGGCAGAGACACAGGGGGGACCAAGGAGGAAAGTGGGTGCAGGCTGAGCAAGGCAGACGGGGGTGGGAGGTGAGGGGGGACAGAGACGGAGAGAGAGTCAGGAAGAGACTGAAGACGGGAGGCATAGATAGAGACTCGATTGTTTCTTCCACTGCTCTGAGCTCAGAGGGACCCTCCAGCCCCCAAAACAAGGAGGAGGGGCTTGGCCTCTAGAGCATAAATCTTTTTAATTAAAGAGAGGATGGAGATGTTGACAAGGGAAAAATGGGAGTGTCTGAGAGAGAAACGAAGGGGAAGGTGAGGAAGGAGGGGTGAGGAAGGGAGCACACACACACACACACAC